CTCCAAATTCGTAGAATCCCCAGAACTTGAAACATGTTTGACATTTGTATCGTTCCCCGAGGGATTGGACACCTCCTGAACCCGTTTTAAAACACCAACCCCAGTTAAAGTATCATGTGTACCTGTGACCGCTCCAGATGATGTCGCTTGAAAATCCTTACGGCCTGATGTATCCTTTTGCCTCCACTGTTTCTGCCTGATCTCTTTAAACCCCCTTTTTTGCGTGAAGGTATCAGAAACCCTTGGCTTTGCATTATCCCCTTTCATACATGACACCGTTCGATGACCAAACACTTTGCAAACTGAACATTGGGAAGGAACCCAATCATATTCCAGAACAACATTAATGATATCCTCTCCAGTACCTGATAGCCTTGGAATAACCACTTCAATATTCCTCTGCATTTCACCCACGGCCCACACATCCACCAACACTTTAGCAAAGTTAGTACGACCCCATGCTTTATCACAAGTGGAGGCACCAGATTGGTATAACCATCTTTACTCCTTACATATATAGCAATTTCGATCAATTTGTTTAAAAATTGTTTGATTTGTGTTGTATTTTATTTTTCAAATGGTTAAACGTTAAAAAACAAATTATTATTTTAAATAATATAGTTTTTAATCATATCTAATGTGCTACTAATTATTTATAATTTTTTTGAAAAAATGTCGTGAATCAATATAACTCGCTCTGTTTTGACCGATATAAAATTATTTGTATCATGCCATTTAGTGTGATTGGATGTACAAGAGAATCAAAGGGTTATTAGGTAAACTATAATAGGAGTTAGAAGGTGAGAAGTATACACTTGTATAAGCTAACATAAACCTAGTATCCTTGAATATCGTCATAGGGGGTCCTAAGGACAGTGCCTTTAATATATTTGATTATTTCATTGTCTACTGATTTCGATGTTTGATATATTTGATTATTTTATTATTTAGCTTAAGTATTCCGCTGTTTGAGATTCAACAACATTTTAATGGCACTGATGAATTATCAGTGTGCCATTAGTCCAAAGAAAAATGAGAAGAAGCCCGAAAAAGAGCAAAAAGGAACATAACMTCCGAAACGATAAACAGAATAAACCCATACCGAGGCCCTAATTGTACGACTTTGGTATGATGTCCTTCCAACGTGGATTCACGTAGAACATCGCGCCACCATACGAACATGGTATATAGGATAAATATTAGGCCCAAACTGAGAAGCGTTGCACCCCTTGAAATGAGCCATTAGATACTAATGTTGGTTGATGGCAATGGTCAATAAACACAAAAGCTAACCAGTGTTTGTTCACCCACTAATGTTGATCAGTGAGTTCCCCCACCAATGCTAACTGCACCCAAAGGTTTGTAGCTTCTCATAGCCGCCAATTAATTGTTCATAACCTCCAGTAACTGTCTACCTTTAAAACGGATATACATTCTCGTTTTGAAATACAAAAAATTAAAAGCATCTATGTGTTTTTTGCTACCGATTTTCTACCTAAAACATGTGTGAATGTAGATTATCATCGAGTAAATTTCATGTAACCCAAAGCAAATACAGGGTCAATATATTACTTAAAGAGTCATTTCTTAAGTAATGGAGAATTCTTCTCCAAGTTTACTTCCATTGTTTTCTGGGAAAAGTCTAAAAAAATGGAATTTAATTTTTGGAATGATTAAGTCCTTGAACAATTTTTTGGAACAAATAAGTCCTTGTACATTCCAAAACCTGTTAAACAACTTCTTGGAATTTCTAAAACCTGTTAGATATATCATTATGACCTATAAAACTAATTAACGCAGTAAAATAATGGAAAAAGTATAAATAAAAGTCAATGAACATTCATATTATAAGCGATAAAGTCCCTAAATATTTTTTGAACCAAAAAAATATTTACATT